ATTTTCTGGGGTGATAAATCTATGCTTAACACAGCCAATTAAGAAAAAGGGTATTTTTTTCTTCTGTAAAATTAATCCCTTTGTTTTTTCTTAGAATTATAAAAGTTCATTTTCTTGTTAGCAGTCCTAATGTTTCTAGCATATATTGATGATCAAGACTGTAAAATCTTACTGTAATGAGTCAACTCATGCTGATTTATGTCATGTACCTAGTGTAGTTGGAAAACTTAAGAATATATTTTAAAATTAGATTAAACATTTTTGTCATGCGTTAAAATATTGATCTGAGTAAAATGATTAGTTTTGCTGCTTGTAGTCTGTTAGGACCAGTGATAAAGTCTTATGTCTAATAATTGTAGTTATCTGTGTCATATAATGAGTGAGGGCCTTGAGGTTGAAGTCTTCATTTGAAGAGACAGGTACTTAGTGTTAAACAGAAATTTTCCTGTCATTATCTGCTTTCTGAACCTGGATGTTAGCTGTGCAGCAGCAGTTTCCATTTGCAACCCATTCAGTGAAAGTTTGTCACTTCGTTGTTCAAGTCAGTTGCAGGAAAAATACACTGTCACATCTCCTCCCACAGGCTCTCACCTAGAGATGGCAAGAGGAGCAGCAGGAGCAGAGATGTTTCCAGCTGCCCTTTAGGGAGGAATTCTAGCAGGAGGTCAGGGCTGTGCATGGCCGTTATGTGCCCAGACAAAGAGTCATTCCTGTCCTCTGCACAGCCCCATTATGTGCCCAAAGAGTCATTCCTGTCCTCTGCACAGCCCCATCTGTGGCAGAAAGGAAGTGATGGAGCAGTTGTAGATTGTGGAGGAGGATTTTAGGTGAGCACTCCGGCTCCTCAGGATGCCAGCAGCTCCCCAGCCAGCCCTTCCTGTGAACAGGTAGTGCTGCAGCAGCCTGAGGTCCCAGCTCTGAAGAGGGTTACCCTCTGCTTTGCAGGGCTCTGCTTTGAGACATCGCACAAAAGCTTCATAAAAGGAGTAACTTAAGAAAATTAGCCTCCAGAAGGGGTGTATTTGCCCTTCCATAGCAGGAGTATTGCATGGGAGTTAATAGCCAAAGGATTTTTTGGGGGCTGACTCTGCCCTTTTAGGAGGTTTGTTCTCCTCTCCAATTGGTAATGGTAAGAGAGGCATTTTGGAGAAACCCAAGATATGAGACCTCTAGCAAATAGGAGACCTATGGGCTGCTTTGATGTGTCCAACATGCCAACCAGGCAGTTTATCACCATAGGGAGCATGTAGGTCAAGCTGGCTTTCTTTCCGCCCTTTATTCCTTTCTACATTTATTCACTGAGCAAAGTTCATTTCAAGTTTTTCTAACTGTAGGAACAGAAAGCCAACGATCCAGCAACCATGAAAAGTTCATTCCCGTAGATTCTGTTCTGGTAAAATGAAAGAATGACTCATAGTGAGAAGTACTTTACCAGGTTAGGTCAGGTCAACATTGAGTTTGTTGTACTTTAATCAGATCAGTCACAGTTGTTTGGGTCTGTCTTTTCAAAGCTTATTTCAGTTTTTATTTACCAAACATTCACTTTTCTTTGGACACTGGAAACAGGAAGTATTTCTATAAGCAATTTCGATATTTGCAACTTAACTGCTACAACATGCAGGTCATTTCTGGGGAGTGTTAAATGGCTCACACAACAGTCAGCTATCCTGCGTGTAGCTAATGCCATTGCCCTGGGACAGATCTCACTTTGTGTCAGGGCCTGTTTTTGGCTAAACAGGACAAAAATAGTGTGTTCAAATAAGAAAGGCAAATTTGGGGGAAAATAAGTGCTCCCAGCTGTAGTTCAGCGGATCAGAGAATGTAAAATGGCTGCAGTTGCTGTGTGTAAGCATTTAAAGTAGCCTGGAGTTGATTATCTGCTGTGTCTCTAAGCAGAGGGTGTAAACACTTGCTGCTTCAGTAACTGAGCTGCTGTCTGCAATTAAAGCTAAACTAGTAGTTGCTGACCTACAGCCTACTATTACAGGCATCTCTCACTCCCCAGACCTAGGGGAACTCAGCCGCAGCTATTGTGGAAGTTAGAGTAGCATAGATGAGCCAAAAAGGTTTGCATTTTCAAAAGCCTGAGAATTAGTTACTGTTGCAAACTATTCTAGCATTTAGATGTCTTTGAGACCAGGAGCCCTGGCGCCAGCCTGCACTCTTGGGATGATTTAAGTATGGGGCTGCAATGAAAGCACGCTATGCTGTCAGAAATCTGCAGCAGGACCCCTTCCTACCATCTGTTTGATTTGGTCCCTGGCTTCAAGTTATAGTCTGGCCTCTACAGTTGTTCAGCCAAGGAAGGATTTTCAAAAGATTTACATTCATAGTCAGGGTGCTGAAAATGTCACAGACTCAGGTCTTGCCACAGTCATATATGCTGAACTAACTAACTCAGGAAGCTTTTGGGTCAGCAGCTCTTTAGCAAGGGACTCACCTCTATCATTATCTATTCCAGGAACCAACAACTAGATTTACTTCCTTGTCTTCTTTTACGCTTTCCTACAGGTTTGTGCCTGCCTGGAAGGCTCTCGCATGCATTAGTGGTGTCTGTCAATCTGAAAGTGTAACTTGGGGTTTTGTTTTTCAAGTAGGAAGGAATCTTCAAGGAAGAGGTAGGAAAAGGTGTGAGTGAATAATTATGCGTTTGCAGTTACTATACATGTGACCTTTGGCTCTGGTTTTGTTATAAGCTTGCAGGATTAGAGGTATTTTTGAAGCTCATTTAGTTCACAGAGAGTTGAAAGTTTCTGCTAATCCTTGCTGAAGCCTTGATTTTTGACACAGTATTTAATCAGCATGTTACTTCCCAGAGTTACCAGCAGCACATAAAAAGTTGAAATGATTAATCAAGTTATTTAAACAGATTTCAACAGGATTAAGAATTAACTGGAGCTCGCTGAAGTTTTCCAGCTGAGATGCAGACCAGGTTTTTGCTTCTACTCAGGACAGCAAGTTAACATGGATCAAGACAGTTTATCTCATTTGGACAGTGCTTGTGACAAGCTTAAGTGGTGCATTGATGGGTATTTTCAGTGTAGAAATGGCCACAGGTTTCTGACAGAAAAGTGTTTCTCTGTCTCTGTCTTTTTAAATATTTTGATGACTATTCTTTCACAACCTTTTTAAAAGAAAGAAGTATCTGAAAAGCAGTAGCTGGCAATTTTAGTTTTGTCTCCTTTGTTAAAATTCCCCTTGTGCTGGGACTGATAGTTCAAGGGCACACTAGGCTGATGGCTGGATTTTACATACCCCCAAACACCAGTGAAGTTCAGGTCTGGGTCTGAACCTCACAACTCAGGCCCATCTCTTGGTGAAACTGAAAACTCTGCTTTACACTTGCAGCTAGAACGTACAAAATAAATGTTTCAAAATTTAATTTGAAGTGTGGTTATGGTCAGAAAAGTGATTGTAGAAAAGAGCATCTCTTATTCAATAGATATGATACCTCTGAGTACTTCAGGCATTTCTGCTGATCTTACTGACAACAGCTACTGCTGTTGGTGCTGCAAAACCAGTAACACTGGTGCAAAGAGCTTGGTTCCCTCATGCCATGTGCATTATCACCAAAAGTATTTGCTATTATTTAGTGTAGATTTTGAAAGACTGGATGATGGGCCACAAGAGAGAATAGAGCAGCTTGGTTTTTCCAACTAAAGAGGTTTTTGGTCACGAAAATAGAAAAAATTGACTGGAGTGTATTTAAACTAAACCAATCTACCAGAATGACTGAGATTAAATCTGAACACCCCCCCCTCCAATGTAATTTTAACATCAGCCTTTAGAGGCACTCTCAAACACTAGTTCCTGGCTTGTTTTTACAGGCATTATGTTGCCATTTTTCCTTGGTTCATGTTTCTTGCTTATTTGATATTGCAGTGGTGATTTCCAAGTTGATAAATAAATAAAAACACACATGAGAAACTCTGAGGGCTGAGCAATGGAGCAGTATGGTCATAGAAAGAATAGAATGTGCAATTCTGAATTCTGAGACGAGAGGTGAACAATATCTAAGCACATGAAAATTCAGATAACTTGCCTCATGGGAATTCCCAAAGAACCTAACCTGTGTAATCCTGTTAGAGTCTCCCTCTGTATTTATGTGTTTAACTACTTTACAGTGTATCTCATACCAGTTGAAATGTCGTTTGTGTTCAAGCTTGATTAATGATTAATCATAAATCATATCAAAGAGAACCAGTTGTGATAAACAGCACTTCTGGTCATTCACCTCCATTGCTTGAAGTGACACATGAGGAGGAAGGATCCCAGCTCAGTTCATGCATCATAAGCTAAACTGTTTGCCTGTGTTACTTGAACAGAATCTCATATGGGAATCACTGGCATACAGAAAGCAGGACATTGGATAACATTTTTGCAGGGTTTTTCAGAGCAAATTTGCATGCTGAATAGATGTATCGTCAACTAGAAATATCTGAGTCCTGAAGCCTTCCCTGGAGGGGCTAGACAGGAAGGAGGGAATGCAGCAAAATGCCCTTGGAGAAATTAAATTAATGTGTTTTTGTAGCACTCTTCGGCATATGTTACATGTGAATTTCTAAGAGCAAAGTTATGTATTTTTGCCTTTCTCCTAGAGATTGAACGCTTTTTTTGGACTTAAAATTCAAAAAAATCAATTTTAAACATGTCCATGCTTTGCAGAACATCTGAAGTGATACAGAAGATACAGAAAAATAACAATCTGTCTACCAAACTTTCATGATTAATCCATTGCTTTATATTTAAAGTGACAATAACAAAATTACTTGGAGAATAGCTTGTTGATTTCTAACTGTGCTAGTGCAGCTTAGCTTATACATTTACAAAAGCATAAGACCCTCATGAAGAAGCAGCAGCTTCATAATGCTAGCACTATGTCCATGAGACAGTGATAAATAAGAAATATCTTCTCTAACAGCTGTTTTCTCTTCTTCCCCAGATGTATATATATTAATAAGATGTCTTCTTATTTCTTCTAGGCACCAGTAACAGATGTGCAGTTTGGACCTATGAGACTTCATCAAGATCAACTTCAGGTAACACAACAGTTCAAACTGAAGTCCTAATGCCTAAAACATCACTGAAGTTAGCTTAAACTTTATGACTGGAATTTTTTTGGGTATAGAGACCTTAGCAGAGGATTTTTCCCAAGTGATGACGTGCACCTAACAGATTTTTATCACAACATTCTATGTGATACCCTAAAAATCTTGCCCAACTCTTTTCTCTAAATGTGACTCTACTGTTATATCAGCATTATTATTAATATCAACTACATTTCCCACATCATCATGAAAGATATTAAGTGACCATGGCAAAGTATGTCTTTTTGTTATTCATTGTTGACTGTCATTAAATGTTCTCCCTTTATCTCTTTATTAATAGAGATTGTGTGTCAGCTGTCCCCTTATTTTTTCCTGGAATGGGTATGAGGTTAGCCAGATACATGGCTGCTTTGGACTTACTCTAAAAATTCTTCTGTATCCCAAGGCTTTCTGAGCCATTAATAATCCAAGATGTTCCTCAGCTAGTAATTACAAAAGTCCAGAAAGTCCAGAGTGAAAGCAATCTAGACCTGATAATTTGCAAATGTCTGTATTCAAGAACTGCAGTTCAACATTTTTCCAAGCTATTGTCAGAATAGGCAGTATTGTCAAACATCAGATCTTAGGACAGACTCATTCAGCTGTTCCCCAAATATAAGTAAAAAATATTCCTCAAACATTTCTGCCTCCTTTTTTGTTATTAATAATTAATTTTGTCCAGCCATGGGCCACTCTAAAATTCTGACAATTTTTCTGGGTAATATAGCTGGCGGGTATGAGGGAAGGAGAAGTTAGTCAACATATTTGTGCCAGAGTTATCCATACAGCTCAGATCTGCTGACTTTCTATGCTATTGCTGAAAACTTCTTCCGCTCTGAAGAGTATTATAAATTAATTTCACTAAATATAGCCAAAACTGTGACCTGTTTTTGCAAAAATCTGAATTAAATTAGTACGAAGTCCTTCATTCTTACAAAAATATGCACTGAATGGAAAGTTAAGATTTACTGGTAGACATTCCACCAACCTGGTTGAAAGTGTAACCAGCACTGGAATTCCTAAAATCACCCAGAAGATAAATGGCAGTGGGATGTGTTGCAAGTTGCACATGTTCTAGGTTATTGCCTGACCAAAGCATATATCTAAGTGTGGTTTGGTTCAGTTACTGGCAGGTTGGTGTTTTGGGACAATAGACCAAATGCTGATTTAATTATCCATCTTCCCCAAAAGACTGCATGTACTGAGTCATCCACAAAATCAACACTAAGATAGATCTATAGCCTGCCATTCTGTGTATTCTTTCAGGCATAAGTTTGCTTCTGCAAAATATTATCCTGATGCAAAGCACAATCACATCTGTGAGAGCCTTCCTTAGCAGACTTTATCTTCTGTACCATATCCAATCCTAGAATTTGCAATACATTTTAGAAGAAATTTGAGTATGTTAAAAAAATAATCATATTTTGAGTATGTTAAAAACAATGGATTCAGACTTGGAAGTGGCTTTAAAAAGCATGTTAAGAACAAGAAAAAGTCACAGAATTTACTGCATATTTGAGACATGTTTGTAATGACTCATGGTCTGTCTCTAACCCAGGTACTTTTAGTGTTTGCCAAAGAAGATAACCAGAGTAATGGGTTCTGTTGGGCATGTGAGAAAGCTGGATTTCGATGTAATATCGCCAGGACACCTGAGTCTGCACTAGAATGTTTTCTTGATAAACACCATGACATTATCATTATTGACCATAGACATTCCAGATATTTTGATGCAGAAGCATTATGCAGGTAAGCACCATTTCAGTGGAGTTAATGCTTAAAGACATAGTTAACACATCATCATGTTTTTCTTGTTTTAAATGACCCTTTTATAAAATCTCTTGACCATTGAATTTTTTTGGACAAATGTCAACTCACAGCATCAAATAATGTTGCCTCAGTGCTTACATCTGATAGCTGCAGCATTTTTGGTTGTGTGCTGGGGTACCTGAAGCTCGGCCTGGCTTGGAGCCATAGTGTACAAATTTCTTGACATAGTGAACTGTTTAGTTCTGGGTTTTTTTCAAATACCTAATTCCTTTTTTTGCACATTAAATTAATTGCAGAGATCGCATGTGTCACCAAGCAATTTAAGGAATAGATTCACTTAATTAGTATTCTGAATTTTTTGAAATGTCACTTGCTGTTGAGTAACTCCAGATACAAATAGGCAATGTTTTGTGTGCACGTTTCCATACCTACAACATTTGAAAATCTGTTATGAAGAGCAAAGTTGCAAACTGATTAAAAAAATGCTTTCACAAACTGTTTAAACGTATGGAAAAAAGGGGGAAAGTATTTGCCTTTCTGAGCGTTGACAGGCAGTGGTGCCTTGTTTCAGTGACTTTCCAGTGAAATACCCCTTGGGAATGTGTCTAGACTAAGTAACAGTCTGTGGGGTGGGGTGGGGGGGTGGGATGAGAGTATGTACGCTGGGTGAGTGTGGTGGGTTCAGGGCACTGGGACAAAGGTTCTTCTTGCTAAACTAAAGTAACTAGATAAGATCTTTGTCAGGCAAAGACTAGATATCAGAGCAGTTCCCCCGGTTACATTTTTACTATTCTGTCTGAGAATAAAGGAAAATGCTTCTCAAAGGAATGAGGCCAAGTCCTTCAAACAGGTCCATTATGTACAGTTTCAGAGAAGAGAATTTTAGCTCTTCCCCCACTGCGGGTATTTGAGGTTTAGATTCATCATTCTCTGTGTCTTTGTTTTTCATGGAGCGTCAGACATTGCTAAATTTATTGTCCTTTCTTAGTGGTCCAGCAGGCTCAGGATTTGTTGTTTTGTTTTTGTTAAATAATTTTAAATAGGCTTTTTAAGAAAAGAACTGTGTAAGGATTCTGTCATGTTTTCTGAAATGTGAACTTTAAAAAGTTGTTAAATTACTTGCCTTTCTTTTTTTAAGGTCTATCAGAACAACGAAACCCTCAGAAAATACAGTCATTATTGGTGTAGTACGAAGGTAAATATCTTCACTTTCACATATGATAAAAAAAATGTAAATATTATCATTATAAAAGTAAATAATATTAAAAACTTGAATTAGAACTTCTTACTGTGCTAGGGATCATGTATTACACCATATAGTTTTCACCATCCTTGACCCCTTGACTGGAACAGAATATTTTATTTATAGTTTTACTGGAGAGTTCTCACTTTGGGTTTTGTTTTTTTCTCCTCTTCTGAACACTGCAGGCTTTAGGAGTATGTTTCAAACAACCTGCGCCACAACATGTACAGAAGTGTGGTACTTGCCTTGTAGATCTGTCTTTTGATTTTAATAATAATTAACAGTTTGAATCTTTGTTGATCTGTTTTTCAGTCTGATTAAACTCAGTACAAACCTGAGATCTGATGAGTTACAAAACAAGATATAGAACAATTTGATCAGTGCAAAGTAGCATCTGACCATAGAAGTTTTAAAAGTAGAATAGATTGTATGATGACATTGCAGTACAGCAATGCTTTTTCCCTCCTCCCTCTGAAAACACTGTTTATATATCATAAAACAATGGAAAAGCAACAACAATGCAATATATTTAATCTGAAATGAAATAAATGGAAGTCAGTTTCCTCAAAGTACAATTTTAGGAACGTCCGTTTCTCAGAAAACATTTATTATGATAACCAATTCTGAGGTATTAAAATTTCCCATTAAAAATCATATTTTCCACCAACATCTTTAGCAAACAGAAGACCCTAATTAAACATTTAAAGGTATTTTGTTGTGGATATAATCTTCAATGTTTTTACACCAGGAAGTCTTCTGACTATGATAACCGTCAATTCTCAAGTCAGAATTGTCTCTCATCAGACTAACACACACATAAAAGAGGAAAACAGAGTTGAAAGAGCAAACAGTAACTCAGGAGCTGCGTTTACATCAGAAAGACGCCTCTGGTTCTGTGGGTCCAGCAGTTCCTTTCAGTGGTGAGGAGAGCTTGGAAGCTGGGCTTGATTCACAGTTAGGAAGTTGCTCAAAAGGGGTTTTTCCCTGCAATTTGTTTTTCAAGCATTAGTTTTTTGTTCTATAAGCAGCTCATTTCATGCAAAAAGGAAAATAACATTTTAGCTTATCCATGCCAAGGATGAAAGCTAATAAAACTCACATGATTTATTGGTAGATCCTGTACAGATCTAGCCATTAGCCTTTGGTGTGACATCTGGGGGATAGATATGTCAATGGCTTGTGAAGTTGGGTCTCAGTTGATTACAGAAATAATCTTGGACTTTATAATCCTTCTTTAAAAGGCATGCTGACCGTGAAGAGTCATCAATATTGCCCCTGATCTCTGCTGGCTTCACAAGGGTATGTATGTTTTATTCTCCACTAAGTTGCTCTGACATTTCAAAATTGTCATGCAAGAAACTGGCCAGAGAAGTTTGGTTTGACTGACCGTGTCAGTAATCTAACTGGTAAATCTTGTTCATGCTGCTCGTTCTTAGATATATCCCAGTTCTGAACTGCCAGTAGAATTAGAATAATGCTGACTAAGCAGGGGGACATTCTCAGGAATACAAGAAGTGGTGCTGAGACTTTCCTACTTTATACATTTATTTCAGAGTAAGTACATGATGCTCTGCTTGAAAAGTTGACATTAACAAATTTGACTAGTGACTGTAGCAGAGCCAGAGAGCAGCTTGCAATGAACAACTGAATATGCTATGGGAAAGCTCTTCTATCAAATGCAGTTCACATCTGTAAACAGGCTTCAGACAGTGTCAAGTGCTATTTATCTACTGTTTGGAGGCACCTGAAAAAATACTACCTTGAATCTGTTCCTTGGCAACTATTTCAATTAAGAAGGCAAGGTGCTTATTAGTGACTCATTTAAGTGGATTTCTCATTGCATTAAGCTGGCAATGGAATGAAAATGTGCATGATTTACAGTGTGGTTCAGAGGATTTGGCTGTGTGCTCAACAGATTTTTTGCTGTCCCATTACAATCCATTCACACCTATTTGTTTATTTGTAGTAAGGTCCCAATACAGGAAATACTAGAGCTTGAAAATAACTGTACTTACATGGACAGGATCATTCCAGTGGGCACAAAAGTAATCCAACACAGGTTCTGAATTATTTTTGGCTCAGAGCCTTGGAGGTGGGACTAATGACAAAGAAAATTTGTTGTGGTGGCTTACCTTTGATAATCAGTCCTCCCTCTCAAACTATCAATGCCTGTGGCAGTTTAGCATGAACAATGATTTAACGTTCAGGCTCGTACCTGGTAAGTATGAGATTTAAAAAAAAAAAATATCAAAGATACTTAGGTCATTGCTACACAAGCCCCAAAATGAGTAATTGTATCCAATGGCAGGTGTATCTGTGAGGAAGTTTTGCTTCCTTCTATGTATACAGTTTGGGGTTTTAGCAATTGGAAACTCGTACTAGTCTCAAATTGTGATGACTTGAGACATAGCATATTTTTTTCACTGTTATTTAAAATAAGTAGCATGAAAACGTGTAACTTCATTAAAAGTAGATTATTTTGTGTATTGATCACACTGGTGACCAACAGATTGGTTGAACCTCATTGCCATGAGGATCTGTCATCTTTTCAAAATGCAGTAACCTGCATTTTGCCCCAAAAGTAAAAAATAATGTTCCCATTTGGCATATCATACTCCTTTTTGGTTCTATATCAAGCGAAAGAAGACCAAGCTTCATATCCTTGAGTACAGAAATATGTATTAATGAAATATTTCTAACTTTTTGTTTGCAGAGATATGTGGAAAATTCAAACATAATGGCCTGTTACAATGAGTTGATTCAGCTGGAATTTGGAGAGGTGCGGGCACAATTCAAACTAAGGTAATTTCACCAAAAACATCAACAAAAAAACTCCTAAGTCAGCCATATCCTTAAAAGAGTATTTATTTACTGTACTATAGTTAAATATAGAATGTCAGTTAGATGAAGTACATTACAGTACAACTTCATTCACTGTGGAGTTGCACTACTGTATTGTTATAGACAACGAAGAATTACATGGATTAAATTTAATCAGATGCCTTTTTTTTTTTTTTTTTTTAATGTCTCCAGAGCATGTAATTCATTATTTACAGCATTAGAGAAAAGTCAAGAAGCCATTGAAATCACAAGTGAAGACCATGTAATACAGGTTTGTTCTGGGTTTTTTTATAAGTACTGAAAACTGCTGTGTGGACTGACTATTATTTCACTTCCTCCACAATTACATTTACACTTTCTTATAGTTCAAGAATATAACCAAACTTAATGGTTCTAACAAGGTTGTAATGAGTTTAGCTGTAGAGAAGAACTTTCTCCATTTAAAATACCATGCATAAATCAAGTCAATTTTAAGAGATTGCTGTTTCTGACTGAATAAGGATTTCCTGTGTTGTTTTTATTTTTTTGTAATAATTCTTTTATATCATGAATGGATGCAGCCACTGGCTTGTATGCATTCTTCTAAAAAAATATTGTATGGTAATTTGATGCAAATCTAATTGATGTTCTTTTTCAATGAAGGTAGTACACTTTCTCTTTTTTGTTACATAAATCTGATACTGCTTGATGCATTGGGATTCTTGGGCCAACTGATTTGGAATGTAATCCTTCCTTAAAAATTTATTTTAAAAAAGGAAAAAACCCAAAAAGGTGCTTAGGTTTGCAGTCCTGAAAAACAAAAACTTTTAAAGGGAATTAATTCCAGATAGGAAGGCTGTGAGGTGTGATTTATCCACAAAGAGCTTGAGCCTCTGGAAGTTATAACATGCATATAAGTTGTATTCTTGACCCAAATCTTAAGAATGGTAGTTACATTGAAGGATGTGCCTTCCTCATCCCCTTCACAGAAATAACAAAGCATATCCTGGACTTGTTTTAAATACGTTTTTTCAGACCAAATTTTGTGCCTCTGCAGACAGCCCCAGAATATGAGAACCAACTTGTACAAGTCCTGGAGCTCCAGCAGGCAGGGCTTTCTCATGTAGTGGGGGAAACTTTAGCAGCAGAGGGCATCCAGTGGCACATTTTTCATTTCTCCCACATTGAAACATTGAAAGTTGTGAGGCATCCAGAGGCTGTTATTCTGTGACCTATGTCTGTAACTCAGCTACGGAGAGGGTCCTGGAGGTGTGGGCTATGGGTACCAGTCTTCAGTTTTGCTAGGCCAGGGCCACAGAATTGCAGTAAAAGGCACTATACAATTCAGCATGAAAGTTGCTCTGTTAGATTCTGCTTCTTCAGGCCTGCGTGGCTGCACTTTGTCTGGACAGGGGAGTAGTCATGGCTGGCCCTTACACACACTAAAATGGTGAATTTATCAATATATCAGGTTAATATTCCTATGGTATCACACCATCTAATTTGTGATTTTTAGAAACACTGGGGTATGTTTGAGGTTTATAGGTTTGGGAACTGACAGAGTTCATTTTTCAGGGGCTTATGTTGTCTATCTAAATGCAGTGGATATGTAATAATCAGTGGTTTCCAAAACGTCCCTCTCTTTGCTCACATGCACACACTCTACACAATTGTTCTAGCATGGACTTTCCTGTTTTGCTTCACAAAGAAAAAAATGTAGGCATCTCTCAGGAGCAGTACATAGAGAGGTTTATTTCAGACTGGGAAAAGAGATCCTTTGGTTTAGCAAAGAGACAAAAAAAAGATTCTGATGTGCTTTAAGTATTCTGTTGAATGTTTTTGTTTGTTTTTATTTCACAGTATGTCAATCCTGCTTTTGAAACAGTGATGGGCTACCAAATAGGTGAACTAATAGGAAAGGAATTAACAGAAGTGCCTATAAATGAAAAAAAAGCTGATTTCCTAGATACTATTAATTCCTGCATAAAGATAGGAAAGGTAAGTAATGGCAATGTATCATTTATCATTTGCTGCCTGTAAAAATTATTATTGTCCATGGATGGCACATGACATAATGTGCAACTTCATAGACACGTAGCCTTTGAAGCTTTCTTACTTAAGCAAGAAGAGGAAGGAAAAAGTGCTCATTTCTTGAGGGCTTCTTTTTCTTTTCTTGCTTGGAAGAGGGTTTATGAAAATAAGTGGCTTACTGTGCTTCCCTATAGTGTATGCTGTATGTAGCAAAAGGTGTGTGAATACCAAAGAGAAGTGGGATGGATGCACGTGTTACACAGTGTGATATAAATGAGAAAAGAAACATATTGAAGTATTTCCTCATGACATGTGGAAGCTGATTTGCAAGTTCAGAATGTAAAACTCTCCAAAGATACATTTGCAGTATGACTTGAGAATGATAGGCAGTGTCAGCTGCCAGCTGCCACTATCTTTTATTCTCTAATGACATGGGAGCTGTCTAATGGATTTCCATTAGAAATGTTTTTGCACCAAGAAACTGTGTGAGGAAGTGCAGCTGTCTTCCAGTGAGGTCATTACAGAGAGACATTACTGTTTGCCTGGTAGCTCCATGATGTTCCTTTGGGACTGTTGTGGCTGCAGTGTGAGTATCCATCCAGGAGCTTTCATTTGCATTTTCACAATGAGCTGTAAATGCTTCTGATGTCATTGAACATGTCATAGTACCTTGTAGGAAGAAGATAATGGAGGTGACACAAAGAGATTTGGGAGTTGTAGATGAATCATGGCCCATGCTTAGACCTGAGTCAGGATAGCTGGTTGGGTCTCAGAGCCAGAGAGGTACTAAAATGAATCATGGCAGTCTGTGTATCTAGGCAGTGATGCAAAAGCACCAGTGCAAAGTTGTGGTCTTTCATACTGTGTAAATCAGGACAGTAACACAAGTATTCATCAACAGCTTCACTCTAGCTGGGTGCAGATTGCATGTGCATTGCAACAAGAATGTGTCACTCCTTTCTTTCTACATGTATCAGCCTTTCAGAAGGGATCCCAGCAACAGACAATAGCTTGGATGGTGGTGCTTCATACCTCTGTTGCCTGACCAAGATTATTTCAGTAAATGTGTGTAATACAAAACCGATGTTATGAGGGAGTATTTATTACATTTTAATTCAAGTACATTAGATGTGTCAGACTTTAAAGCCACAACATCAATTCTCAAGATATGAAGTGATGAAATTTTTAATATTTTAGTGTGCCGATAAAAATGTCTTGGAAGACGTTTTTCTCTGTTAATGATAGGAACCTAACCCTAATCCATCTCTTGCACTCATTTTACTCCTAGGACGTGCAACTATGAGGACTAATGAAGGATTACTTATTTAAACCTGTCTATCTGGAACAGCTTAAGCTGGTTTAGGTGGATAAGTTCTGTATACATGCTTTTTGTATTTCCCCTAGGAACATTTTATAGTATGCAAATTCGTACCCTTAAATATACATATTAATATAAAATTAATTGCCAATTAAATTCTTAAAGTAAGTATTTGTGAGTAGAGGTTAACTGCACGGAACAACCCTTGAAATACTGCAGCCCTTTGAAGATGCTAGTTTGAAATAATTTGTGTCAAGATGTTATAGCATTTTCAGAGGTGCCTAACTTTGTCTGGATCATTCTGACATGATCTGTATGTTGTTTTCAGGCTTGTGATTTCTTTAAATCCTAAATTTAAGAGATTGCTTCCCATTATAATGAGCTATATATTGGCTTCTGTAAGTTATAGCATACCAAAAAAAGCTAATTGTTTACTACGGTGGTATCCTCCTGCCAATGTTTTGAACAACGTTTTCTGTTTTGAACAAACATAACAATAAGAGAGAGCACAATTTCCTGATCTTTAGAAAAATGTAAGCTCTATAAAATCTACCTCTAGTCTTCAAATGGAGTTCAGGAAGATGAACTCTTGCAGCATTTCCCCTCTTGTGCTGGCAAACATAGCACTGTGACCAAGTTCAGTATATCCAAACAAAAGTTCATAGGCATTATACACAAAAATTGCTAATTGCATGGTACATAGGGACTCTTGGGTCAGGATGTTGTTTCTTTTAGCAAAAAATAAAATATCTGAACGTTCATTTTTTGTTACTACAGCTGGCTGTAATTTGAAAGAAGACAGTATTACTAAAAGGCATTTTCACCCATCCGTACTTGAGAAGTAGAAAAACAAGTTGTACTTCTTCACTCTTCTGTTTCATGCTACAAATTACATCCATTAAGAGGAAATGTGCAGTTCTGACTAGAATTTTTGCTGCCTCTGATCTCTGCAGTTTGACACAGAGCTCTTTATCTTAGTTTCACATTTTCTGAAGCGAGATGGAGTGCTAGCAATACATCAGATGGGACACGCAATCCCTCTTGCTCCTTGGGAATTATTGCCTTTACAGAGGGGCTGGGAGAGCAATCAAGCTCCATGATAAAGGTCTATAGCAATTCCTTCCTAGAACTCAGCCTTACTTTCTGTGAGATTATTTTCATGACATCTTGTGTTTATTTTGGTTTGCTCTTTTTTCTACTAGTAGCTTGCTCAACTAGTTCAAGAAGCCCGAGACTCAAAGGGGGCTGAACTGGGGGACTATTTATTGTGTGTGTATGAGTGCTTAGTGTATAGCTGTATGCTGTGGCCACCATGATGAAGTTGGAAACCTCAGAGTAGATCCAATCTATAAAGGGTGAGACCGTTTGTTGCACTGTGTGTGGTTTTTACTTGCATTTGGTCCCAGCACACCAGGCCACGCAGAAGTCACAGGTCACTGTACTTGTGTGGCTGTAATGCAGACATAACAACGAGCCTGACTGGCAGCACTTCTTGTGAAGTAGCTCTTCTCTGTTGGATTGCTGACAGAGGCTCTGTGGGAGAGCATATGGTGTTCTTAAAATATGTGTAAGTAACGTCCCTGAGAGAAATTCACTTACCAGCAGGAGTTTGGCTTGGACCTCCTCTCTCTCAGAATTCTGCTGACCTTTTCCCTCTCACATATCCTGCCACAGTATCACGGGTTTTAGAAATTCACAAGCTGAAAAATCGATCTGTTGACTAAGGACAACACATTAGTGAGTAACCTGTCTTGAAAAGGATTCACTTTCAATGCGAGAATTATCCAATCTGTAGCTTATGACTTCACCCCTTTCTGCATATTCTAGGTTTATTACCTGGGTTAGAGATCGATTACTCATCCCCACCTCATCCTGGTTGTCAGGAAACTATTGATATGCGTACTTTTAATTATGAGAGCATTGAATTTTATGATGTTTGCTTCATCTTCATTTGTATTCCTCATGCAGCTCACAGGAGAAGACATTATGCTTGCTTCCCAATTTGTTATGCACAGTTCTTTTCTCTGACAGATCCTTGGAAAAGCTTTTCATATTTTTTTCTGCAGACTGTCACCATGCAGCTCTCTGCGGGCTGCAGTCTTTATTTGCTGGCTCCATCAACATAAATGCAAAACTGTTCTCTCTGTACCTGCTCTGGCCTGTTTCACTGCAAGATCTGTCAGTCTAACAAAAATAAATATGTATCATGTGCCTCATGAAGGTATTTTCACATATGTTCATAACATCTGATCTGAAGTCTGTTATTAATTTTATCAAAAAACAATTATAGTGGCTGTGGCAATTTGATACTTCAAAAATTGTCTACTTAAATGTGACCCTGAAATCAGAGTGCTTTTAGAGGGAAGTCAGCAGAATCCAGTAGCAATTCTACTACACTCTCTCTTGCTTTAAAAAAAGCCAGGATAAATCTCTGCCACTTTGTGAGCCTGAACTGACAGTGTGGAAAATAAATGTACTCGGATACCAAAGTGTATTTAGTTCCAGATATATTTAATGTTAACCAGTGATACCACTTCCCAACTCTGCAAGGGAGACAGTGCAGTCCAGACGTAAGGGCAGACAGGTCAGCATGATGGTTCCTCACAGACCTTCCTGTCCTGGGAGGAGTCAGGTCAGCAGAGCAGCCCGAGCCTTGTGGTGCGTGGTCCTGGGGCAGGGCAGGGGCTGCCCTGCACTGTTAGAGCCTGCAGCTGCTCCTGGGGGCTCTGGGGGACTCTTTCTCCAGTCAGGGGCTGGTCTCAGCTCTTGCTTATGTAGGGGTCTTTGCCAGGTGACCCAGTGACCTCCAACACCACTGGGGTATGATTGGAAGGAAAGTAAGTAGTTGTGATTCCTGCAGCAGCTGAAGTTTGGCTCTTGCCATCAGGGCACTCACAGGCTGCCCCTCTGGAAGTTCTTCGTGCATTGGCAGCAAAACAGTGGCCTACAGATTAGTTACAGGGGAGAAATCTGAGGATAAGCACAGTTCGGCCAGCTCTCACTGGTTTTGTTTTGTATGACAGCTTTCAGTGAAAAAAGGTATAGAGCTACAGCTTCTCTTCTGGTTTTAACTGACTTCCTTCCACGTGAATTCCTTTTTCAGGAATGGCAAGGCATGTACTATGCGAAAAAGAAAAATGGAGACAGCATACAACAAAATGTGAAGATACTACCTGTTGTTGGACAGGGAGGGTAAGTGTGAAAGCTAAAGCCATGCTTTAGGTCTGAATCAAGGCTCAGTTTAGAGTTCAGTTGCTTTCAGCAGAAATTGGGTTGTTCTCTTACTGAGTACAAAGGAAGCTTATGCAAGGAAGGGAGCCTCAAACCTCTGCATTTCATTCCTTGGGGCAAATTCAGCCTCACATGCTGTGTGCAGAGAAAGTGAAATTCTCCCAATTCTCTGCAATAAAATATGAGCCAAAGATGCAGATGTGCTCATGTTTGACTCTTCTCATACTCCCTGAAGTGCAAGTGCACCCTCCAATCCTTCTGTGTTGTGTTGGGACCTCCAGGACCTATGTCCCATTCCACTGAGCACCTTTACCATGTCTCTCTGTGCTCACCTCCTTATAGTTGTTGCTGAGTGTCTTTCTGTGATGAGGGTACTGAATGCTTTGATCCTAGTCAAAATTCAAACATGTCTTGATTTTTGTGCAACTTCCACTTGGTCCCCAAATGGAGCATATGGAGCACACAGGTGTATGTTATTTATTGGTACAGTTATAATGAGTCCTTCTGTACTATGTTGGGAAAGAAAGGGGATCAGATTGCATGCAACAGTAGTTTCAAAGCCTTGTAAGGCAATATGAACATTAATTAAAAGCACATTATTGTCCAGACTTGGCTGAGACAGTAATTTAGAAAGGTGTGTCTTCATGAAGGAAAGGCCAAATGCAGCTGCTTTGTGCAGTTGCTTACTAAAAAAACAAAAAGTGCTTTGGGTTGATTTCATCCCTGGAAGTAATTCATGTTCTCTACGTAAGTAGAGTGAAAACATATTTTCAGCTTCAGATGCCAAACTTTTAAGACCAATATGTATGTATTGCATACCATGCTACTTAAGGAACAATCTGAGCCCATTTGAAGCTGTCTTAGAAAGTTTCCCGGTAATCAAGGATGTGGTTTTCAGTTTGATTGCTCTGTCCCTAAAGCCTATAGAAGGTTTTGATTGTTGGACTGCACTGTTGCATGCTTTGCATTTGTCTCCTACCTGAAACATCCTACAGTAGGCCAGAAGAAGCTGGGGAAGGACGGGGGGATGGCGAGAAAGAGGAGAAGACAATCTTTGCAAAGGATGCCTCCATTTTGTATTCCACATCACATACAGAAATCTGGTGTTTTATAGAGTCCCATCTGAGTCTCCCTGCCAGAACAGGATTTGTCCTATATTAATTTGTTGCTCTTACCCATTTTGTGTATCAGCACTGAATTAGTGCTGAGGTTTGGATGGGAATTAACACACTGTTTTTTGCCTGCAGAAAGATTAGACACTATGTGTCAATTAGTAGACTGTGCAATGACAACAATAAGGTAAGTGAAAATAGTGCTATGCTTGCTTTAGTTTGAACCCTAAATATTACAAAATAATGGGAAAGTTCTGACTAGCTGGATTTCTTATACTGATTTGCAGGCAGAGAAGACATGTGAACGTGTTCAGGCTGAATCTCAGACAGGTATGACACAACTTTTCTGTCCTAATGGTGGAGAACATACCTGGGGAATAAGCCCATTGTTAATGATCTGACTGAAAACCACAGTTGCACAGGGCAGTCTGAACAGTACTATTTAGATAGCGATAAGCTGGGAATCCAGCTCAAAAGGCAGGGAAATAAATACAAGCCCTCTCTACCTGCTTCATTTGTTTTAGAAATGATACGAAGCAACCCACCCTCTAAAATGCAGCAATGGGGCCGCAAGTTGGTACGGTGGTACTGCTGGATTCAGTGTCAATTTTCAGTTATAGGTAGTGGATCCCTGTGACAAAATCAGAAATAAGAAGGATGCTGTCTAGCTGTCAGGTTGCTGTGGCTGATCTATAGCTAGTGGCATGTATGTTTGCATTGCTTTTAACTGTTTTGTGGGGTATCAACACTTCAATTAAGACATCATTGGCATCTGTGCTGCAGGTACTTGTTAATTGTAGCCTTGGTTCTACAGGCTGTATCTGTTGGGATCCATAAGGAAACTAGGATACTTTCCCTAGTTTGCTAGCATGTAGTCTGCTCTGGTCCACCAGTTCTATGTGGCAGTTGTTACTTGAGTGAACTAAGGTGTGTTGCACAAGTTGTATTCACAACTACAATTGTGTCACTTCTCCACACTGTTAGATCCCTTCTGCAAAAATACCTAGGCATGTTCTTCCAGAGAGCATGACTGGGTTCATGACAGTATAATTGGGTGAGAGTTTAAGAAGGGGCTTTCATTGGCTCTCATCTGCTGAAGCTGCTGTCAGGCTTGTTCTGAGTTTCAGTTCCTTTAACATACATCTTGGGCACAACTCCATATCATTGTACAATGTAATTTTCTCCACAGATATTCAGACTTGCAGACACAAAGACAGAAGGAAAGGATCACTAGATGTTAGATCCACAACATCACGAGGGAGTGATGGTATGTTAAACAAGTAGATTTTTCTGATTTCTATATATATTCTTGGTTTTTGTGTGTGCATACATTCATACACATACAAATACAGGTCAGTATGTATGTATATACACACATACACACATACATGAATAAAATATCAAATAATCAATTAATTAACAACTTTACATTTCTAAAACATCCCCATTTTCTTCTCTTGAACTACTTTGAGTCTTTTTTTGAGCTAATGGAGAATGGAAGATTATTGTCTACCATCCTGCATGGAAGACCTCATGAGATTAAACACAGGATACTTTCAAGTACAAATGGCAAACTCTAAATGTAACAAATTGTTACATTTCTTACCTCTTCTCTTGATAAAAAGATGGATGTCACTGTCTGTGACAGTGAGAATACAATCATGCCCCAGTATAGTAAAAATGGCATTGATTCATCTTAGGAGCTGCTCACCACTAAGAGTAACAGAGATGTGTCTGCATTTTATAGGTAGCAGGATGTAGTAATCCAGAAAAATTCCATCTTGGCCTTTTCTCTACAGGACAAAAATTGCTAACTGATATAAAACATTCATTTTTCAATTTCCAATTAATAATAGACTAGAACCTCTGCTGTTTTAATTTGGCATAGCTATCATCACTTCAAAGGAGCTTCGCTGATTTACTTCAGCTTGGAATCTGTTCTCACCTTGCATCAGGCAGCAAAAGTGGATCTATCGTGTAATAAACTAAGTGCAATAATTAACTACCTGTGTCTGCCAGTTTTTACACACATATATCTGTATAGTCTTTTAACTGAATTTTAAATTTGTCAAAAAAAAACAAAACAAAAAAACCAAAGCCATGATTTTGCCTGTTAGAGCTACTTATCTCTAGTCACGGATGTTAGTGGTTCAGGAAGCATCACTTTGCACCTGTGTGTCCCCAGCATAAGAAGCATGTGTGTGCATTCTGCAATAGCTTGTCTCTGCAGGGCACAGCAGGGTGTGCAGTTCAGAAAATGAATCAAGATTTCTTGCCTGAATCCACCTGTTGTGCCTTGTCACTGAAATCAGGATCCAACTTCTGCTTTGTTTTCCACACAGGCAGCTCACAACGGCGACACTCATCTATGGCCAGGATACATTCCATGACTATTGAAGCACCCATCACCAAGGTAATGTGCACTGTCACTAGCTGTTGTCCGTTGTGCTCTACTGGAACGTTGGGGCACAGCTTCAGTACAGTACCCAGACTGAGGAGCAAGGGAGTGCTGGCCTCTGGTGCAACTTCTTCATCTGTTCCACCTGCCCACTGGTGGAGCTCCAAAAAAGCCAGATCTTCTGAACAAAGATCCCCCAAGTCTGCTTAGTAGAGTGCCCTGCATGTGGTTGGCCATTGCCTGACCCTTTTGAAGGACTTTTGCCTATGAGGACTTATGCCTTATAAACTGCCTTCTGAAATCATTCAAGGATTTGACAAAAATCAGCTCGTTAATAAACTGAGAGAGGCAAATGGGAGAAGGTTATATTAAATCCATTCAGAGACATTTTGAGACTATGCCTTGAATGGGGAATTAATTAATAAGTCTGCCGTCTTTAAGGCCACAATCTTGTTTCCAGAGTTGGTAGCAAACATCAGTGTTTATTAGTATTCTTGTGGTTTCGATTCTTCCACATGTGGATTAAAGTTGTAGATCTTGTTTATTTGCTATGAGTTTTGATGTACAGTAATTGATGAGTGTCTGTTATTTCTTAAATAACTTCTAAATTCGAAACATGTCTAATGCTAACTCAGGTAATAAACATCATAAATGCTGCCCAAGAAAGCAGTCCCATGCCAGTTGCAGAAGCTTTAGACCGGGTTTTGGAGATTTTAAGAACAACTGAATTGTACTCTCCACAACTGGGGACAAAAGATGAGGATCCACATACAAGTGACCTTGTTGGAGGGTTAATGACAGTAAGTACATACTGCCACAAAGAGCTCTTCATTAATGTTCCAGTGCCTTATTTTCTCACTTGATCTTTATCATCTGACATATATTTTCAATCTACAATGCCAAATTTTCAGGAAAAAATGCACACTTTTTTTTGGTGGATTTTTTCCCCCTTACATTAATAATGTCTCTGTGAAAATGGGAAGAAAATTAACCAGTCCCTTTGAAGCATTAGTTTTGCTAGAAATGGAAAGGAAAACCAATGCGTTTTCCAGTGTGATTCATTATAGAAATATGTAGATGAAAGAGGAAGAAAGAAAGGTAGCTGGACACTTGTATTTCTTAATTAGAATTATAATGGCATCTTATATGGACTTTTTAGTGTATAGGAAAAAATATGTTTTCAAAATAATGCAATATATATATATAGCTATTTCTTGTATATTTGTAGCCCTAGAGACTCATAGAAAGATGAGAGCTTTGTGCTAGAAACATTAAAGTTCATGTATTAAAACAGAATCAGCTCCACAGAACTCATATTTTAAATAAATAAGGCAAATAAAAGACTGAAGAAGGCATGCACTATGATGTTATGTTACCAAAAAAATGGGGACCAGAGGCACTGGAAAAAGAAGCTTTGTACCCAAAGTTGAACAAAGAGCACGTAGCAAAGCAAGAATTGAACTCAGACTTTCAGAGCTTGAAGTCTGACCCTCCTGATAATAACTAGAGAAATGTAGGTGATTGTTTCTCTGTGTTAAGGATGTGTGTTCTCACTAGTTTGTAGGTTGCACACAAAAGGCTACCTCAGGAAAAAAATTGATAATGCGCTGGATGCAAAAAGGCTCATGAGATGTGGGCTTTTCAGAGATGTCTCTGGGATATTATAATTTCATGCTGTAACTATCAAGACACCTCTGCAGTATCCATCAGAATGTTCAAACAGTTTACATATATTTTTGCCTTTTAAAATACCACAGCAAATATCTAATCAGGAGAACATATGAGAGACTTTTAAGAATTCCAGAAGAGCTGAATGGTTCATGTAGTGTTGAGTTTACTAACTCAGTAGACAAAATATATTGTTAATCTTAACTCTAAAATATAGGAAGAATAAATATTAACAGTGGAGTCTCAAAGTGAATAATTTCCCCTCCTTCAATACATACAGTCCATAAACTCAACTGTTTTCTCCTTTTTGTGGACTGTTGATTCTTACATACATTTGTATTCTGACTGTTCAGTCCATGATCCCAGAACATGTAGGTAACAATATTGCTAAAACCAAAATGTTTAACAAAAAATAAGAGAGGCTATTTCATGGAGCAATAGAAAAGCTGAGAAAATCCATTTCAGAGCATGAGGCTCTATGATACAAGTTTCAAAATCATCTGGAAGAAACAGTTTTCCAGTGAAGGGTCGGTTGAAAAAAACCAAACCAAACCAGAATCATATTACTCCATTTTGTGTTCAGAAGTTATGCCTGAGTAGGAGAACAAGTAGTAGGTTATTTGATTTGAACTCTCAAGCAGAATTCGTAATGGGAAGGGCATATGGAGTTCAAAGATGGATTTGCCAGATACAATTACACCTGCTATTTCAACTAACCTTTGATTCTAAATGATACACAACATCTGATGTCCTAAATATGTGTGTCATAGCAGTGCTATTGAAGAGTCACTGAGCCAGTTATAGGAGCAGTATTCTGTTCCACAAAACTCCAGACTTATTTACTTACAAATGCAAAAATGAAAATGAGATCTAGCAATTCTTTTAAGTGCAGACAATGCATGTACAGATGTAGCATCCACATTTAATTCTGCTATGCTTTGGGTGCATAACATTGTTAGTAAGGTGCTTTCAGAAAGGTGTTTTTTTAATAACTTTTATATCGTGGGCTAAACATCAATGTGAAGTAACTAACGGCTGTGTACATCAAAAAAAGTAAGCAGGATTTGGGCTACAGCATTTGGAATTATGACCTGAAAAGTAAGTATTAAATATATCATTTTGTTAGTGTTAATCCTTCATCTTAGTTTACACATCTAGGCATCATGCCAGAATTCAGGCTAGGAGGCACTGAGTGGAGAATAAACAAGCATACATTCTTTTTTGATGGAAGGGAAGCCTCAGAGTAATTTGTTGCTCTGCAATCCCAGCAACAAATCACAAGATTCTTATCCTGCTGAGATGACCTGATCTATCAATACTGGGGGGAGACCACAAGCATGTCTCCATCCAGTCCCTCACACCACCCACCTTTGCTTGTTGATGGGAGGTATGTGGACATACTGTGTCTGGCACACATCTAGAACCTGTGTTTATGTAGTCCAGAGAAGGGTGGATGTGAGGCTGCAATTCCAGATCTCCATCTATCTGTACCAGAGATTTTTGAGTTTGTACCTACCTCAGTTCATATTGTATCCCATATCTTGCAGTTCCTCTTCCATTATGAGCTCTTTGTAAAACAGGCAAATCTTAACAGTACACACAAATAAGGGAGAGGCAGCTTTGATGATTATGATAGGTTGCAGTCAGGCTTCTCCAAAGTCATTATGCTACTATTTGGTGTCATTATCTTACAGAACTTTTGTACTATACCCTGCATTTAACTCTCAGCTTTCATTGAACAGGATGGTTTACGAAGATTGTCAGGGAATGAATACATCTTGTCAGCAAAACGTAAGTTTTAATTTTGTGGTTACTGAGATACTAAAAACATAAAACATGTTAAGAAATACAAGAAATGGAGGAAATGTGATCAGGTGTTCTTTGTATAAGCCTTGTTTGGTTTAGTTTTATTTTTATTTCTAATTACTGCTCTGCAGCACTACTGAGCTTTAGAGAAATGAGAGTTGCCAGGCATTACTACAGAAATCAAAACATGTACATTTCATGAACGTTATTAATAGTGCAAATATATTCCTCAACAGAAACTCATCAGGTTGCTGGCAGTTTGATCTCTCCAATCTCTCTCAATGACATACCCCCACGGATAACACAGGCAATGGAAAATGAAGAACACTGGGATTTCGATATCTTTGAACTTGAGGCTGCCACCCATAAAAGGTCAGTAAACTCAAGAGCTCATAAATTGAAGTTGTTGCAAACTGACTTAAATGTCATCCTGTAAGCAGCCTTTTAATTTCTCTGCTTGTGATTTTACAATTGAATTACGTTTATTTTCAAAGTCAGATGTTTGAAATTTTCTCATAGTGATTTCTAGTTGTGTATGAACCCGTTAAATGTCTTCTGTTTCATCAGACAGTATTTCCTCCAGATTCCCTGTGGATGTAAGTGAAGATTTTATATCTTTGATATGGTATAATAACAAAAAACCATAATTTTAAAAGCCTTCCTGTTCTGTTCTCAGTAATAGGAAAGTTCTACAAATCAAATTGTTGTCTCGTGGGAATTCAAATTCAGATTGTGACCAACTACACACAGAGTCAACATGCTGGTCTTAATTTGATCATTTGATACAGATCATGTTTGATTTTCTGTCCATGTAATTGGGTAATTTTTATTCCCCAACAGTTCAATACATCTTTTCAGCAGAATTTGCATTGCTTTTCTCTGGGATTAGAGAAAAGTCTATTTTAAAATCTTGGCAGGCTATGTTTTTTGACAGGATTAAGTGAAGATTATTTACTGATAAAAAGTAGGGCATACCAATTTCTATCACAGAAGTTTTCAAAAGGAGATCAGCAGTTCTGACAGACTGTACTTTGTTAGTAGCAAACACTCCCACTAAGACTGTAAATTGATCTTGTCCTTGTTTTTATTTGCTGATGCCTGTCAAAGGCTCTCATTTAGGTCTAGTTTCATGTATCGTGCTTTGTCTTACCCTAAAGCTTCTATAAGACACTAATTTGGAGGCTAGATGCTGCAACAAATCAAATATCATAAGCCATCATCAAAATCCCAGATACGTAAGAGCTTTGAAAAGCATTAAAAAACAATGTGTAAGAAACATACCAAACATTTAGTTAACATACATGCACTTCATTTTTAGACCATGGTTTTATGAGCTAAAAAAAGTAAAGAAAATCAGGTTTTTCTTCTTCAAAGTTATTTTAAGTGAAGAAATTTTCATCTAGTTACTTAAGGGTATTTTGCTTTGCTACATTTCTGTTACTAATGCAGTGCTATAGATACAGTAATAAAAAACCCACATACACACAAAACCCCCCAAAAAACGTTAAACCTTGATGTAGTCCATCTGTGTGATTAACAACATTTAATATGCACATTGCAGTAATTTAAGAATTAATATTCCAGCCAACGTGCTTGAAATCACTAGATAGGTTTCTCTGTTCTTACTGATGTGGAGAGACCACGGAGGGACAAACAACATTATTTGTTGCCTGTCCTCATTTTAAAGGTATCAGAATTATGATTGCTTCCTCCTGTGTTTAAATAAAAGCAATTCATTTATTAAGAAAATTAAAGTGATCTTCAGTGAATCACAACTATAGAATCATAGAATCTTAGGGGTTGGAAGGGACCTCGAAAGATCATCTAGTCTAACCCCCCTGCCAGAGCAGGGTCACCTGCAGCACATCACATAGGAACGCATCCAGGCGGGTTTTGAATGTCTCCAGTGAAGGAGACTCCACAACCTCCTTGGGCAGCCTGTTCCAGGGCTCTGTCACTCTCACAGTAAAAAAATTTTTTCAGATATTCACCTTGAACCTCCTATGCTCCAATTTGCACCCATTACCCCTTGTCCTGTCACTGGTCATCACTGAGAAAAGCCTAACTCCGTCCCCCTGACACTCACCCCTTACATATTTGTAAACATTGATGAGGTCACCCCTCAGTCTCCTTTTCTCCAAGCTGAAGAGACCCAGCTCCCTCAGCCTTTCCTCATAAGGGAGATGTTCCACTCCCTTAATCATCTTTGTAGCTCTGCGCTGGACTCTTTCGAGCAGTTCCCTGTCCTTCTTGAACTGAGAGGCCCAGAACTGGACACAATACTCCAGATGCGGCCTCACCAATGCAGAATAGAGGGGGAGGAGAACCTCTCTTGACCTACTAACCACACCCTTTCTAATGCACCCCAGGATGCCATTGGCCTTCTTGGCCACAAGGGCACATTGCTGGCTCATGGTCATCCTCCTGTCTACCAGGACCCCCAGGTCTCTTTCACCTACACTACTCTCCAGCAGTTCAGCCCCCAACCTGTACTGGGACATGGTGTTGTTCTTCCCCAAATGTAAAACTCTGCACTTCCCCTTGTTGAATTTCATACTCCAGATGTGGCCTCACCAATGCAGAATAGAGGGGGAGGAGAACCTCTCTTGACCGACTAACCACACCCTTTCTAATGCATCCCAGGATGCCATTGGCCTTCTTGGCCACAAGGGCACATTGCTGGCTCATGGTCATCCTCCTGTCTACCAGGACTCCCAGGTCTCTTTCACCTACACTACTCTCCAGCAGTTCAGCCCCCAACCTGTACTGGGACATGGTGTTTCTCTTCCCCAAATGCAGAACTCTACACTTCCCCTTGTTGAACTTCATCAGGTTTCTCCCCACCCAACTCTCTGGCCTGTCTAAGTCTCTCTGAATGGCAGCACAGCCTTCTGGTGTGTCAGCCACTCCTCCCAGCTTAGTGTCATCAGCAAACTTGCTGAGGGTACATTCTATACCCTCATCCAGGTCATTGATGAAGATGTTGAACAACACTGGTCTCAGTACTGACCCCTGAGGGACTCCACTAGTCACACACCTCCAACCAGATTCTGCCCCATTGACTACAACTCTCTGACTCCTTCCTTTCAACCAGTTCTTGATCTTGAATATGATCTAGATCTTGAATATGTTATTAGTATTGTCTACAAGTCCAAGCAGATGTACAGTAGTAAAGATAATTCATTAAATCTGAGTTTTAGTGTATTACAGTTCCCTGACACTGAAACCTGGAAAGATGTTTGACAGTGCTGTGTGGGGGGACTGAGGACGATTTCTCTTTAGTATGTTATGATTTGAGTGTATGACACAGTATTGGTGAGTGTTTTTGCCAAAAGATGTACATCCAAGTATAAAAACCTCAGCAATTCCAAATGACCTCATGTCACCTGTCAGGTGCAGCTAGAAATCAGGGTGCTTGATGCATCTGGAATTAAGCAGCAAAATGGGATGCCAAAATAAGGGTTTAAGATCAATTTTTAACAATCCACATTTGAAATTTTTTACCCCATACCTTTTCCTCTTAAGCAAAAAACATACTGAACAAGTAAACAGTGGTATTAACAGGATTTGACAAAAGGTTACTGATCTTAGACTTGATCTTGTTTTCATTGCTCTGTTAAACATATTGTGCTTCCACAGCTTTCAGATTAGAAATATTCTGTATTGCTGTTCTCATCTTCATTCAACTGCCAGTCATCTGGGTTTAAATGGTGCAGTTTGACCTGGGAGTCAGCAGGATTTCTGGAATACAGAGATGTTGGCTGGTGTTTTGGAAACAGGTTTCTGCCTGGGTTAGCCATTAGCCTGAAGGTTCATCTGGCCATTACAGTCTTCTAAAAATGGCATATTCTGTCCTGGCCCTTTGCTTCCAGAATACCTCCATCTCTCATCCTCTGTTGCATGCAATGTCAATGAGCAGTGCAAGCCTGCAAGGCTGGGTGTAAAAGAAATGGAGCAGACCTGCAGTGCAAAAAGAATAGTCATTGCAACATTGTATAGTACAGATATACTTAATCTAACTGTGAACAAGCTAATTTAGGAATCTCTGG